ACAGAATTAAATTAGCAAAAAGCAGCCATAAAGTATGATCCAGATGCTTGTTATCGTTTCTCTTTTGCTTACAGATCTATTTGCTTCCTCTGTTTTTCCCCTATGAAGTCAGGGGAGCAGTTAGAGTATCATTTCAACAGATTAAAAGAAAAGCAGAGGGGTGGGTTTTTTAATAACTTTTTACAATTCTCCACAGCAAGCCCATTAGTCAAATGAGAAGAGACTATAAAGCAGATATTTTGGGATGTTTTTAAAAAATCTTTACAGGAATTGCAAGCCATTCCTTTTTCTAAGCTAAGTGTAAATTATTGCCAGGAGGATCACTACACTTAGAAGCTCTGTAAACTGTCCTGCACCTAAAGGGTTATTAATACACACCACTCTGGTATAAGACTTCTTTCCTTCCACTGCAAGCTGACTTTTTTTTTTCCAAGGTTTGGTGTCACTGAAGTGCAGTGTAAAATTGTGGCTATTGTTGGCCTCTTTACACACTGTTCCTAATTTAACAAACAGAGCAGTTTAGAAGGTCAAATAGGAAAACAATATCTTAAGAAAATAGCAACTTCTGTGGCTTTGAAATAAAAAAATCAGTGCCAAAATGTTTATCTCCTCGGTTCATGAAGCCATAAAATAAGTACAGCACCGTGAATCACCTCAGAACTTCAAAGCTTGTATGCCCAGCATACCATTTTAGGGCTATTAAGTTGTACAGCTACTGTACTTGTAGTAAATAGTTATACAAGATTGTAGCAGCAGTGCCAAAGATTTCACCCTTGCAACAAAATTTCCTTAAAGCTACATTCTTTACCATGAGCTCACTGTATAAGCTTGCAATGTCTCGAGAGCTTCTGCACAAAAAAATTATTGACACTTACATTGAAAATGCCAGCTTCTTTTAGAGAACACGGTACTCCAAATATAGATATTAAATCATATACACAGTAAGTGAATAATGAAATACAGTAAGTTAATTCCTTTGACATATCAGCATTTCTGTAGAAAAGCAAACTTGTGGTTTTGCTCATTGCATCAAAGACCATGATGAAAATTCACTAAACTAAAAAAATCTCATTCTATGAGACTGAAGATGGTACTAGATCCCCAAGATGTTACGTAAACCAAGAAAAAAAAAAAAGAAAGCCACATCTTTCAGGGATACGTGATTCAGGAGTGAGCAGAACATTTATTCATCTACCTGATACCTTGCCTACATATGATTTTTAGTGATTTATCCCAATTAAATGGTAAAAGGCTCAATTTACATGTATATGTAAAGGCTAGCCCATCACAATCTGTTTGCACCCGCCTCATGTGCAGCTGCTTGCTATTCCAGCTGGCTGGGGTAATGAGAAGGCACCACTGGTGTCTCACAGAGGCCATCTGGGAGGACTTAAGCCAAAATCCCCACTAGGCCATATAAAGAGCAAGTCCTGTGGGGCATCCTGAATTTTCTGTATATGTCATAGGACACTGTACAAGATTTGTATTCATGTAATCTGGTAAACCCACTTGTACCAGTGGCCAAGGTTTCAAAGGAAAATTAAAACAAGCTTTTATGCACTTGGCATATTATGAATTGCATTGTCATGGGAGAACTTTGTTATGACCTCAGTTAACAATCATGTTACACTTAAATATTGAAGATCATTTTTTAAGGTTATGCACAAGAAGCTGCCACAAATTCTCTTTTCCCCAGCAATTTGTTAACACCACCAAGATTGCAGAGTCAATTTAAGCAAGTTTGAACTAATGCTGAACAAGTTGCAATAAAGATTTAGACCAGTTCTCACCTTCCCAATCAGGGCATGTCTGCAAAGGTACCCAACTCATTTTGGAGATTGTCTTCAGCATGTCTTTATAATAGATGTCTGCCTACATTATACTACACAGTCCATCATAAATTAATTTTTATTACTCCTTTTTGTAGAATAGATTCACTTCTATCCAGTACATCTTCTAATTAGCTGTTTCTTCTTCCATGCCCAGCTATTTACATCAGCAGAAAGACTGGCTGACCAAAACAATGTCTTTACTAGTTGCTTTGACACACTCCCTCTTCTTTAAAACGTACACAGCAAAATAAACTCCAAACATGTCCCTGAAAGTCCTTACACTTATTTGTAAGCTGTATCTTCATTGCATTTCTGCTCTGTTAATACCAATTTCTTCCTTCCTCAACAAATATGCTTTCAACCTAGCCACTCGTATTGACTTTGCTCCTTGCTTTCCGTCAGCTAAGTGCCTTTAGCTAAATGAACTTGTGCAATGCTTCCAAACCTTGAGAGGTGTGCATAGGAGAGGCTGTTTCCTGCAACTGCTTTTCTCTACTGGCAAAAAGCACACTCATTTTTTAGAAAAAGATGTTTTTACCCTTGATTCCAAAGCTTGAAAACTTAGTACATTAGCTGAGAAAATAACTGAGTGGAATCCCACAAAATACTTCACCTGACAGAAAAAAAAGTTATTCAGTTCCTCTGTTTATGTATAAAGTATATGAAAATCCTCTCCTTTTAAACAGTGTTGCATAATTCCTAGTAATAATGGAGTGTTCAAAGGCAACATACTGTGGAGGTGAAAACACGACTTATACTGCCAGACACATTTCTCTTAATGTACATTTATTGCCAGTACATTCCAGCAGAAGGAAACTTAGGCAAACAGTCCAAGCAAAGGTCCTATCTTTGAAAGATGATCAGTACTTCTAGGATTTAATACCAGCCACTAAGAACACTCAACCTTTTCTAGGGACCAAACAAGAGATCCAAAAAAAAAATTTGAGCACTTAGCTCCAGAATTCCTATTCTCAGAGGACCCTATTTTATAGGTAGGTAAACAATTGGGCCTGAATTCTTTTAAATTAACTTTCTAAAATACTTCAATTTCTGCTTTTGGTCATGCATACTATCCTCCAAGCCACAACACCAAGAATCAGCTAGGTGTCCAGCACTTTCAGAATCCCTAAACTATTCATATTCTATCCCTCCTGCTTTAGGACTTTCCTTCGGTATGATTTTTTGTACAGTGACTAATAGATCAAACTATGACTGTGAAGAGATTTTTTGGTTTTTTAAACCAAAGTTCACTAATTTTATATGAAACCTCACCTGTTAGAGTACTTATTAATACAGATACATAGAGTCATTTGGCTTAGTTTCTCCTTAAGAGCTATTTTGGCAATTAACAAGCACATTTATTTAAATGTAAAATACATTGGATATACACAAATAGTTATACATTATACCTTATACATTCCAATTTCAGAAGCTTGCTTAGGAAATAAAGGATATATTTGGTAAACTATGCAGTTTTTTGATCTTTACCAGGTGTAATCGTCTTGTGACAAGCAGTTTTAGAGAGATTTCTGAACAAAAAACAGATCTGAGTTCCCTAACAGTGTTGCTTTGTATCTAAACACATTTTCATTAATTACATTAACTTCAAAATCAAATGTCATAGAAGACAAATGTTTCCAGTTGGACAACAAAGCGAATTTAGAATGTGGTATACTCACGTTGAATGTAAATCAATGGATTTTAATAGACTTAGACTAACTGTATCTCTAAAATCAGTAGAAAAGTCATTTGAATTTAGCCATTTTGATAGTGAATAACTTTAATACTATCGATATATGGTTCATTTTTCAAAAGCATTTTTGTAAAGGCATGATCCAAAGCATACCTAAATTAACAGGAGAACCCGCCCTTGACTTGAACAGACTGTGGATCAGGCTTTAACCACTGTGACTTTGTCAAGAATAAAATTCTCAGGTGATTTCTTATAAGATACGATGAGAAATGAAACACACACAGGTTCTCATTGATCATACCTGGAGCCCACAAAGTGACATGTGAAAAGTGGTAAAATGGGAACCCATGAGGACTGGAAAAGACTCAGATTTTATGGGTTATTGATTTACCAGGAAGAGTCTTGCCAAGTTTAAATGAAGGAAAACAGAAAAATGGCATAACCTGGGTGTAATGCTGTTGAGGTAATGCACTATGTGAGTGAGAGCTGTGGTAGTGTTCTCTAGCATCCCTTCACAAAGCAGCTACATAATTTTAATGAAATAAATGGCTGCAGTAAAAATTTAAGAGATCAGAATCCCATTGAATTTTAAAACATAAATTACTGTGTATGCCGGTATTTTTACAAAGCTAAAAGTACAGCATGTGCAATAAATTTCTCATAAACATTTAAATGTTAACTTATGAAAAGTAGTCTTGTAGACTGAAACTTTAAATGATGAAATTTAATTACAAAACTACTCTCTCATTCATTGATATAAATTAATTAAACCACATGAATGAATGTGTAACATACGTTCAACCAAAAATGTTACATACTTCCCACAATTCTGTAATTCCCTTCCAGAAAAGAGGGGTCATAGTTCAGCAACCATGATGCACTAAAATGATAAAGATAAAAACATCTAGTTCCAGTAGGAAAAAAATTCATGCAAAAATTGCTATTCTGGCTTTGTTTTTCAGACCCAAAACTCATGGAAGGTCTGTAATTTATGGTCAAAAAGATAAACGGGCAATTAAATAAATAATACTAATACTTATGGGCTCAGTAGTGATACTGAATTTATGGCTTACATTACAGACATGAGAGTAACCCTTCTTTCAAAAGGGATTTAAATAATTAAAATAATTTGATTAGATCAATTTAATTAGATTTTGCTTTTAGTAATCTGTTTTTACCTTTAATTTTGGTGTTTTTTATCCAAAAAAAGGATTTGCAATCAAAAAAACTGTTCAACATTCTATAGTGTGGGGAAATATCTTTTCTTGAATAAATCTTTCTTCAAATGTCACTTACATTGCACTACAGTTTTTTATTAACCAATATAACATAAAATTTGTGATTTTTTATGTATTTATACTTAAGTGAGAAATTTGCATGAAATCAGAATATGTAGTGTGAAAACCGGTATGTCTTTTTAGTATTGGTTTGTCATGTAGAGGCTTTTATAGTCCACTGGGGCTTTTTTTCCTTACCTGGAACTCTCTTTGCCCAGTTGATCATGTGCACTAATTCTCTGTCTGCAAGGTTGGTCAACAGGGTCATCATAGAGGCTTCGTTGAATGGTCTATTTGGGTCATATTCAGAATAAACTATGGGTGGCTCAGCTTCCAGCAAGGCACTGACCATCTGTTCTGCCGTCAGGGACAGGGCTGGACTGTTCTTCTTGTTATGTTTAACCACCAGTGGACTTGTCCAAAGGGTGGGAGCTCGCAGCTCCGTAGAAGCAGCCTCCCCATTCCTGGAATCCTGCTCCTCTCTTTGACGTTTTTGTTTCATCATTCGCCCACCTCTGCGGTCTTTCCGGATTCCTAGAGACATACAAGAACATAATGAACTCCTTTCCTTGAACATATGTTTTACATACACATGGCTTCAGCCAATCAGCAGCTGCTGTTGATAGACCCAGGTAGCATTAACTCTTGGTTTATTTTCTGAAGACTTCTTCCTATATATGGAATCTTACATCAGTAGTGGAGAGAAAAGCTATTTTTAAAAGTATAGTGTCAGGAATAGTGCACTCCTTCCTAAAATTCAGATCAGTTGGGCTTACACAGGACTCTAGACTAGTGACACTGTATAGCTGCCTTAGCCGCACAAAAGGAAGTCAGTAATTGGGAATAAATAAATATTTCTTTACAGCACAAACTTCAAAGTATGTCCCAACCTCTAGCAGACAACTATTTTATAAATGATCAATGATAACTTAATCATCTGGGTGGGCCAGATGGATCACAGAAGTAGCTCTCAAAAACTATCCAAGGAAGTTTTGCTCAGGTTCACCAACTACTTTAATTAAACATCATCCTATTACTGAGCCTGTGATCTTCATAATTACATAAAAAACATCCAGAAAAGTTCCCATTACAAGATGAGCTTATACAGCAATAAAGAATGCCATATAAGTAGATAAACAGAAGTAAAAAAAGGAAAGATAATTGCAACCTCAGAATCTAATGTGGGAGACCTACTGTCAAAAGGCTGTAATAACTGCAACAGAAACCATCTTGGTCATTACTGCACATTTCTGCAATGTGCTTAGCACTGTATGACCCTGAACCTTGCGATACTATCAAGTCAGCCATACCAATCAGAACAACATAAGACCTTACAGTGGAACAAAATCTCCCTTTGTGGAAAGGTTACAAGAAAAATAAAATTATAAAGCCCATGTGGACTCCAACTATAAAGGGAAGACTAAGTCTGGCTCTGAGTGGAGGAGGCACAGGCATTTTGAGGCTGAGTTAAAAACTTAAATTGATCATCAAGTGAGAGTGAGGGACAAGAAAGTAATAAGGAAAGCACACAAGGAACTGAGATATGAGAAGAAGGCAGCTTATGATGGGGCTTATTCTGGAGTTCTCATGCAATATGGAAAAGCAGCACCAGTCCCAGTTTGAAAATCAAAAGAAGAAGTATCTATAGACAAGGAGGATGCAAACTATTCAAGAAACAGAGAAGAGAGAAAAATTAAAAACAAACAAACAAACAAACAAAAACCAGCTTTGAGAACTGCTGGCACTTGTAAGTGATCAATACAAGTCTTTATGATGGGTGAGTGGGAAACACAATCTTTGCTCAGGTTTTTTCACACAACAAAAATGTAAACCTTTAAATTCCCAGTCTTTGTTAGCAATATCTTCATCTCACGTCCAATATCCCTTCATATAAATGTTGGATCATATCAACAGATGTCCTTTCCCAATCTCACAGGAACAGAGAGGATATTTAGATCTGTCCGCCTCTTTCTTTGAATATGGTGATATTTTCACTGAATTAGTACTTTAAGATTAAGCACTTTACATCTAATTCATTCAAAATCTAGTAGGCCTCCTGATTCTATTCTATTAATCTTTCCAGATAAAGCGAGTTCAATAAATCTTTCATCACTCCTACTACTTAACCTCTCTACATTTTCTCATTCGTTAAACTAGTTGTAAGCCAAAAGTCTCAAGTGCATTGCTGCTTCCATTTTTCATTCAGCAATACCAATTTTTCCTACCACTAAACTGTTTCTATTTAGGAGGGGAGAGGGAGATTCTTGCTATTAAGAAAAAATGAAAGACTTATTTTGGCAAAACATCATCCAGGAGTTATTCTCATTGGTAGCTTACTTCATTGCAATACTCAATAGCATTCATGCTCTATCTATAACAAATATTTTTGTTGTATGCTTTATATCAATGTAAAGTTTTTGAATTAAAATTGCCCTGTTAAACATGCAGACATAATCATGCAAACAAAACCACACGGTTCATACATACGAAAGCATTTGTTAACTTTCTCACATCCCAAATTCTACAGCTGCTCATCTAGCAGTTTCCTTTTGAAGAGTTAAAAGCATCCTTGGGGCCTGTACTGTTCAACATACTCATAAATTAATGGACTCAGAACTGACATAATTTAGAAACAAGATCTTGGGGTTAGAATAATACTATAAAAACATCAGATAAGTTAGTTCAGAAAGTAAATAGAAGGCTAGAAATTACTAGGAGAGGAAGGAAGGACAGAGCATCTTCATAAATCACAGATTTTATTAACTCATGAAGCACACTACAATGAACACTGTGTGCAGTTCTGTTCTTCCCATTTTAAAGAGAGATATAAAAGAAATGAAAAAGGGATAACAGAAAGACAAGTAAGATGATCCAAAGTGTGAAAAAAGTTTGGTGCAAGAAACAGCTAAATTGACTAGGTCTGCTTGGCCTGCAAGCCGGATATGAGACTACAAAATCAGGAGTAGCAAGAAGATGAATAAGGAACAAACACTGACTTTTCTCTTCTAATGCAAGATGGTATCAGATGAAACTACCCCATGCAAGGTTCAGGACAGATGAGAAGAGGTTCTCTTTCACACCATGCAGAAACAAAGCTGAAAGTGTGAATAAATTAGAAGTTGGTGTATGTTAGAAAGCTGTAGGCCAAATTTGATGGAGAAAAGAATCCATTAAGGGTTAATAAACACGAATAGGGCACCTTTGGCTTAAGTCTCCATGCATAGATTACCGGAAGATCAGACAGGATTTTTTTGGTTTTGCTTTTTACTTATTCCAGGCTTGCCTTGTTAAGTAAAACACGGATGTGATGAGAATTTTACATAACAGAGGGAAGGTGGCAAATGTAAGCACGTTTAGCTGCTTACAAATCAACTAGATTCTAAATAAGAACAATAGTTTTGTTTTTAATTCATCTGCAAGCTTCCCACTGGCTTTTCTTCACCTTGAAAAAACATGGTGCATTGAGCAAAGTTGAACATAGCCAGTTTGGAGGAGATGGCCCTCACAAAGTTATTTTTACATTTTTTTTCCAGGATTTAAAAAAAAGCATCTAACCAACCAACCATAGTAAACTTACACTGGATTTTGTGGAGACCAGATCTGAAAAAAAAAAAGTCAGTAAGAGTATGCATTCCTTCTGCATCACATCAGCAGCTTTTATGATCACAGACAGAAAGGTCTTTGAACCTGTATAGGCATCATACTCATCAGAGATTTATGGAAATTACTCTTAACTCTTCACCTAACCCCTAGATGGACAAGCAACATAGTAATTTTATTATTCATTTTCTTGGATCAAATAGGAGTGAGTATCTCTCTGAAAAATGCAAGTGCCTCCAAATCTCCTTCACCTTAATCAAATTTTATCTCTGTTAAAAAAAGATAATAGTGATGCACAATCACTAATTCCAAAAAAGACAACTCTGTCAAGCTACAATTTCATTGCCAAAAGTGCAATGATCCTGTAAGGCTTTTTAAAATATATGAATACATTAATTTTGATTCCACAGTTCAGCCAATAAAGGAACTTGAATTGCCAAATGTTTTGAAAAACAATATTCTACCAAAAATGGAAGTACTATGTAACTTGCAAAAACTCTAAAACAATTTCCACTTGAGTTTTAAAGCTACAAGAGCCAAGATTTTCAAAGGCAGTTTTATAAATCTTCATAACAGTCAGCCTGTTAGATATGGAGACAGGTTTCAAAATTGCTGAGTAATTATATACTCCAGTCAATAGAACCTGATCAGCAATAAAATTGCATATGGACCATGGAGGCAACGTTAACCAAATGAAACACTTCACCAGTGTTTTCCAACATGTGATTAAAACAAAACAAAAAATAAATTCCAGATTATTAAAAAAAAAATCCTAAATTAGGAATGTATTGGATGAATATTGAAGCTCAGCCATCCAACCGCCAGCTTCTTCCTACCTACTGCTAAGAACAAAACTGCACCTTTATATCTCCAGTATTATATAAAATACTCAAGAATATTTAAAGGAAGAAGAGGAGGAGAACAAATAGAATAAAATTTGCTTAGCTCTGTGTGAACCATAGAATTATGCATTTTACTTTTAAAGATCTATGTATAATCTCAAATTCTATTCTACTTAAATATATTTCCTATGAACTGCTTTATATAATATTCTTCAATTTATATATTAGTAGAAATTTTGTAAGAATATTTGTCAAGTAAAGAATGTTTATTGTTTGCAATAAATGGGAACAGATTTGATAAAACCCAATAAACTTTTCTTGGCACTAAGACTGATAAAAACCTGGTTATTTGATAAAACTGAAATGGCCAAGATATTTTTGTGTCTTTCCTATTGTTCACTATTTTGGAAATCCCAAACACAACAGCTATTGCTTTTTGTCTTGTTTGCAACACCCACCTGCTATCTGGAATACTTACTGTGCTGTTTTCGTTAACATGATACAAAAAATGCAAAAGACCTTCATCTTCTTTTTCCCCCATACGCACAACATTCACTCTGCTTGTTCACACGAGGAGTGGGTATTAATATGGAAACTGCATCAGCCCTGAGCAATGTCCACAACCTAAAAAACTCAGGACTTTCTTTAAGTTTCTGTTTCAAATACATCTCTGTGCTTCACCTTGCAAAATCAGTTACTAATATGATACGTATTTAACAGTGGCAACAGAAACAAAGTTCTGCAATTTTCTGGAGGGCAAAGGATACTAATAAGATCATACCATAAGGTGGTTCGCTATAGGACATCAATAATTTCTGTATTTTCTAACATTTGAGAATTTCACTTTGCAACTTTAATCAACCATTAATATACTTTATTAATGTAATCATGACTGTACATATCACACACAGAAATTGATTTTCCATCAATTTAATTGTAGTTGTCATTGCGTGACACACACAAGTCACCTGACAACATTGTTCTAGTCTGGGAGAGGACATAGCTATTTTATTTTATAGAAAAATATAAATAGGCAGAATGCAATGACACAAATTGTGAATTTAGGCAGGAACAATATCTCTTGTCT